AAAAAAAAAAAAAACAAAAACAGGGCATAAAGTCTCTTTAACTATTAGAGAGATGTTTTTACTTATTTAAGTATTTATTATTTTAGAAATAATCTGATCTTTAATCAAATTCTTTACAGATTTAACTATACAAACAAACTTACAAAAAATTACAAAGGAATAAATGACCTACATTTCCTTAATTAAGTGTACATGGAAGTTCAACTTTTTCAGATTGGGTTTTAAATACTGATCTATCATAATAGCCTAGATTTTCAGTCTCTACACACATTTGCTGTGACCTAATTTCTTTTCTTTCTCAGGACTTTTTCTTAATACAGTTTTACTGTAGCCTGTAGAAAGGATTCTCTTATTGGTAAATTAAAAAGTCAGGTTCTTTTGTTTTAGGAGTGTCAGTTGTAGGAAAATTAGCTGTTCAGCTGCTCTTAGGGAAATGTTGGTACTGGTTAGGAGGAATATAAAAGCTCTCACATTATTTCTTATTTTTACTCACCACTACAAGAGATACCTCTAAAAATAAGGAAACAAAGAGTCCTTGAGCCAAGAGCTACCCCTAAATATTATACAAAAGATTTTAGAAAACTAATATTCAAAAATAGAAGTCTCGCTAACCTGATACAAGGTTTTTAGCCAATGAAGACATCTGAAGTCACAATAGAAACTTCAAGAATAATGACATACTAAAGGTTTTCCTTTTTGGATTAGCTTACAGTAATTTGATTTATTGGAATGTCTCATTTACTCAAAGGTGTCATTCTCCTGCATAAAATTCTAAGTACCTGATAGTTCTGCAGCAGGATAAGACTGAGGTAGAACTCGCTGAAGGCCAGTTTAAGGTCTTTAATGTTCCTATGTTGGACACGTTCCTCGTGGGACAAGTGGAAGACCGGCTTTCTGCGTTGTCGCAGCGTGGTAACACCAGTGCTTTCTTTCTGCGCGTCCAGCGATGACTGAAGCTCATTCTGAAGTGTAGCAAACCTGCGCTGAGCCTCTGCAAGCTTCTCTGTAAGAAATAAAACAGAATTGCCAAAACATTTTTTATAAGATAAAAAAGCTTATGAAAGTCCCCACTGATAGATGAATTTTTACTAATTATTCTAATTTGCTTCTCTAGAACCGAGGAAAAAACATTATGTGCAAATATTTAGAGCTGACGGGAAAAAATATTTTGGTGTAACCCTCTCCTTTTATTTTACTCTATACTTCTCTCCCAGTAAACCTCAAGTATACCCTTTGTTTTTTACAGATTAAGAAATAAAAATGTAAAGAGCTACTAAGAGTAAGATGTAAAACAGTACAAATGCTTTGGAATTTGGAAAACAGTGTGGCAGTTCTCAAGAGGTTAAACATACAGTAACTATACAATTCAGCAATTCTACACTCTTAGAGAGGTACCAACCTCTCTAGGTATAGACCTAAGTGAACTGAAAACATATGTTCATACAAAAAGTTGTTTACATATATAAACTTGTATTCAGAAGAGCCAAAAAGTGGAAACCACTCAAATGTTCATGTTATGACATGGGTGGACCTTGATGACACATGTTAACTGGAAGAAATCAGACACAAAATACCCCATACTGGCTGACTCTATATGAAATATCCCAAAAAGGGAAATCCAGAGAAGAAAGTAGCTTAGTGGTTGCTCATGGCAACCACTAAGAGGAACAGGGAGTGGGGTATGGGGTATCCTGCTGGGATGATGAAAATGTTCTCGAATTAGTGATGATGGTTGTACGATCTTGTAAACATACTAAAAACCACTGAATTACATACTTAAAAGGGTGAATGTTACATGGTATGTGAATATCTCAATTATTACAAAGCTATTAAGAAACTCTTCCAGTTACACAGTTTAGTTCAGAAAATCTGCTGCATTTACCACTATACCTCATTCTGCAAGACAGGTATTGTAAGAAGGGATTAAGATTGGCAAATTATTTGTTAAAAACACTAGGTGTAACTGGATATCTATGTATTTGTGTTGTATGTACAATTAAAAGTAATACTCTATAACTTGTCTTCCCAGGATATAATTTAGTTCACTAAAACCAGGCAAATGGAGGTGCAAATCCCTGCCTCATTAACTAGGTGTATGATTTTAGTCAGGTTTTTTGTTAAACTCTTCTAAGCCTTACATAGGTGAAATGGAGATAATGACAACTCCCTCATAAAGTGGTTGTGATTAAATGAAATGAAGAATAGAAAATACCAAGGTAGTTAGCACTCAATAATGATGACAATAATAACCAACTATTATTTACAACTCATTCTTTCTCACTATTCCCCTTTCCTTGCTTTGTATACTGCTCTATTATCTTGTCTTCATCTAACCTTTAGTTAAGTATTTTGTACTGGCATTGATTCATGATGATTCATTGTTCTCTTTCTCTTAAGAGAAATTACTTCTATAGGATGCTTACAAAGATTCATCTCTGTCCTTAATCATTTACATGACCTTCCTCCTGTTAACTTTTTTATAATCTATTTATTTTTTTATTGAATGTCTCATGACCTAAAGTTGTGTTCACAACTGAAATCCTATTTCTTTCCAAATAAATGCCCCTAACTATGAAGGGCCTGCGTTAGCTCCTAGAGACCACGCTTACTCCTCTCCATCTCTAATACCAACCGCACCCCCCACCCCAGGAGCTCAGAAAATATTCCCTTCACTTAGGTGAAATAATTAGTAAGGAGAGCACATGCATCCTTTAAAAGCTCTATATTTATTCTCCATTGTAAGCCAGGAATGGCCTTGAAAGAGATATCTATCTATACCAATGAGGGTAGGGGTCAGGGACTGACTTCACTGATGTTTTCACATGTTTGTTGTTCCATTTAACCAGATGTGCAGAAACCCTGCTCCATGAGGTTAGTTCCTGACCTCCTCTTTTGGTATGTGACTGTAGATAGGTTCCCTGACTTCAGCAGAGATAAAAGGATCCTGGAACAGAAGGGCCAGATGGCAGCACTTAACCACTGAAACAAGTTGGGTGCATTTACTTTAAATGGTAACAGGGAAAATCAGTAATGAGAATGTTCTAGCCCACAGAGACTTTGGCTGTATTAGTTGATCATGGTTTTCCTTAGAATAAAATAAAAGGGCAAGCTACTAGAACATTGCTTGGTTGATGTAATTAAAAAACCTCCAGGTCTGGTGGCCAGACACTTGATTTAGTCATCATGACCGAGTCACAACCTCTCACCTAGTTTCCAGACCTAAGCTAGTTGATACATCCAGAGACCTCTGATGGAAGCAGTAGCCAAGCTCCCTTTTCAGTGGTTCCTGCAGCATTGCCATAGTACACATCTTCCTCCAGCCATTCCTCAGAGGGTCTAGTGATAATTATTAATACTAGTGACTGTGCACTGAGGGAAAGGAAATATCCAGACTTTTCAAGGATTACTAGACATGGGTATTAGTCGTGTATTGCCATATAACAAATTATCATAAACTTAGTGAATTAAACAAATCTTATTTTTTAACTCATAGTTTTGTAGGTTAGAAGTCCAAGTATGACGTGGCTAGTTTCTCTGTCAGGCTCTGATAAAGCTAAACTCAAGTGGTCAGCTGGGCTGCTTTCTCATCTGGAGCTTGGATTCCTCTTTCAAACTCACTTTGCTGGGGTAGAAATTTAGTTCTCTGTAGTTGTAAGAATGCGGTCCCCATTATCTAGCTGGCTGTCATCTGGGTTTTGCTTTTAGCTCCTAGAGCAGTGATTTTCAACCAGTGTACCACGACATACTGGGGTGCTATGAAAGGATCTTACATGTGCTGCGAATATCTTTAAAGATCATTAATTAAATTATTTTTGAAAGAAGTACAAAGCACAGTAAGTATATTTCTTTTTTTATTTTTTATTTTATTTTTTTTGAGACAGTCTCACTGTGTTGCCCTTGGTGGCATCACAGCACACAGCAACCTCAAACTCCTGGGCTTAAGCAATTATCTTGCCTCAGCCTCCTAAGTAGCTGGGACTCAGGCGCCTGCCACAACGCCCAGCTATTTTTTTGTTATTGTTGCAGTTGTTTAGCTGGCCTGGGCTGGGTTTGAACCCACCATCCTTGGTGTACATCGCTGGCGCCATAACCACCATGCTACAGGCACTGAGCCTTTTTATGTTTTTTTGGATCAACATAATTTAAGTGTGCTGCAGAAGTTTAAGTATAGGTTCAAGTGTGCCATGAGATTAAAAAGGTTGAAAACATTGTCCTAGAGACTACTTTTAGAATCCCTCTATCTTGAAAGTCAGTAATGGAGAAACTTTGCTTCATTGAGTCCATCACATGCTTTGAATCTTTTCTATAGGATGAGCTCAGTCCCTTTTATTTTTTTCCCTAAAAGCAGTCTATGATGGCATCTTTAAGAACACAAGCTTATGTATGCCTTTTATAGCTGGATAAGTGAACTGGTCCTTATAGGTACCAATGCAGAAACATGTTGTTATAACATATTCTCAAATTTAGATTATAAGGGTACTTCTACATCAAACACTTCCATTCACTAAAAGTTAAGTTTAAAATGCATGCTCAGGCTGGGTACAGTGGCACATGGCTGTAATCCTAACACTTGGGAGGCTGAGGTAGAAGAAATGCTTGAGCCCAGGAGCCAAGGCCAGCAAGAGCAAGATGCTGTCTCTATAACAGAAAAATTAGCTGGGCTTGGTGGCCATGCCTGTAGTCCCAGCTACTCGGGAAGATCGCTTGAACCCAGAAGTTTGAGGTTGTAGTGAGCTATGATAATGCCACTGCACTCCAGCCAGGGTGACTCTGTCTCCAAAAAAGAAAAAAAAAAAAAAGAATGAAAGAATGTATGCTTACATTTGCATCTTATAGCCAGTTAGGTGAACTTGGCTCAGTCTCTTTTAAGGGCATCCCTGGTTAGGTTGGGCTTGCCTGGGATAATTTCTTTTTCTTATTCAACTGATTTGGGACAATAATTACATTAGCAAAATCTCTCACAGCAGGACCTAGGTTACTGTTTGAGTAAGTGGAAGAAGGTGCGTATACACCAAGAGGAAGGGATCTTGGAGGCCACTGTAGAATTATGGGAGGTGCCACAGCTCTGAACCGATGCAAATTTCTAGAGACTCCAAACTACTGTGGTTTAGCAAACAGATTTATGATGTTCAGGTGAGAGATGGAATATTAGTCACAGTTAGACTCACAGCAGACCTGGCTAGGCCATAGACTTATCCTATAATTAATTACACAGTTCCAGAATGTACAATTGAAACAGACATACTGGGCCACTGGTGGAAATCTCCACACTGATTCTGATATATGAGGTAAGCAACATTAAGAGAGAAAGGGCTAAGTGAAACTTTCTGGAACTTCTCCCTATCAAGAGAGAACCACAGAAGTTAGTGCTACAATCAGAGACTTGAAAGACACAGGGATGGTGATACCTATCACACTCATTTAATCCATCTGCTTACTCTGTGCAGAAGCTAGATGAATCCTGGAGAATGTGAATTAATATAAATTTAACCAGGTGGTCTCTCTAATGACAGGTGTTATTCTGGATATAGTTTCTTCACCAGAGCAAATCAATATAGCTTCTAGAGTCTGGTACATATAAGAGCTATAACGTGATAAGGCAGCTACTCACCAGGCAGAGACCAGCATTGAGCCCCAGATATGGCACCATTCCCCACTGAGACTGCCCCGCCAGATAGGGGCTAGCAGCAGGTTGACTATATTATATGGCTTTTATTATGCAGAGAGCAGAAATTTGTCTTCTTCAGAATGAATGCATTAAAAAAAAAAAAAAAGAGAGAGAGAGAGAGAGAGATGGGAATTCACTCCATTGCCCAGGCTGGAATGCAATCACAGCTGATTGTAACCTCAAACTTTTGGGCTCAAGGGATCCTCCTGCCTCAGTCTTCCAAGTAACTGGGACTACAGGTATACTACAAAGCCTGGCTCAAATGCATTCTTGATATAGATGTGCCTCTTCTGTCCTTAATGTTTCTGCTAGCACCACCATCTCCTTGAATGGCT